CAATATATTAGTCATTTCAATCAGTGACGATTCTGATATGGGTAATGTTAATGCACAACATGTTGGGAACATTACTGACATTTGAACTCTTTAGAAATCGAACATGGTGAACCAGTAGTTGTAATCACTGTTGAGGAAGAAGAAGGTAAAGCGGAAAGTACGTAATATTGGACTTTAGTTTTTAACACTCGAGTAATTAGATTCTGATTCTGCTCCTAATGAACTCACAATTGAGTCAACTGATGATGGTAATGAAACTGCAAGAAGCACTGGTATTTTTTTCTAATGGTAGCTTAATTAGAGTTTCATTCGGAAGAACATGATCTTAGCGAACAAGATCTGGCAGCAATGGACATGGCAGGATCTGGAGGTGCAAATGAATTGCGAATGGAAGAAGCCTTTGTAGCTCAAGAAGCTGTTGTCAAGCTGCCTTCCATGAAGAAAATCTTCACAGAAATTGCTGGCAACGAGCAAATTGCAATGGAGTAAGTTTAATCGCTTTAATTTTCTTCCAGTAACTGACGCAAATTTATCGTAGCTACTTGAATCAACATGGTGTTTTCTACCGGTCTGGAGATTTGGTATGCCCTGGAGGCTCTATACTGCAATGGCGATCAGCAGGAAGACGTGGATTTGTTTGGCGCTGCAATGGAATTGTTATAAACCCCGTGACTGGTGAAAAGTGTTGTAATGATACCATGCGTAGTCCAACCTCAGACACTTTCTTTTTTAGAAGAAAAATTGGTGCCGATGTGGTCCTACATGTTTTATACCTGTGGCTTCGTAAGGTTAGGCGCATGGAAATGGCAGGTATGGCTGAAACTACGCCTAAGACGGTGGCAAAAATCTTAACTGCGTGGTACCAAATAATGCAGGAAGACTTACGTGGTGATGATGTACAAGTTGGTATGTTCTAGCAAAGTATATGCTTTCGAATGGTATGAATTATTAATTTTGCACTCTCTTTGAAGTATTTGGATAAATAGACAAAATGATTAACGAGACTAAAAGTAAGTTGTCCTTTATTGAATGAAATACGGAAGTCTATTTATACTTTTCCTAATGATCGGATAAAGTTATCTCAGCTATGATGATTACCAATATTTGGGGTGATGCTGACAGGACAATAGCGATGTATGACGAGCTGTTGTCTAAATAATAAATTTTTCTTAGACTCATAACTGCCACAATGATAAATATTCACACGTAGGCGAGAGTCCCCAATTTATAAATAGATATCATCTATCTTGATTCTAATTGGATTACTTCATTATTATTTATGTGTAATAGCTTATTGGTATGCCATTTATTAGTCCAAATACCACACTCTTAGGCGGAATTGCAGCTGATGGCTCGCGCATCATTGTGGATGTTATGTAATGGTTTATAAGACACAAGACAAAGACAAAAGAAGTACTCTTTGAGACTAATCTTTATTCTGAGATAAAGACAGGAGGAACATACAATTAAATAAAGGATCTACTATTTATAGTTGCTATCAAATGGCTGGTAAGCCACTATTCTAAGCGCGGATTATAATTACTGAGGATGTGATTGACTAACGGTTCCTGAATTCATAAAGAAAACTTTTAATTCGTTCCTGACACTGATCTTATTGTTCATTTCATGATCTGGGTTATGTTACTGCTTTTACCCTGAGAAGGATCAT